ATTGTTTGAGTTGGCTCATCATCAGTGTGATTTCAATTGTTATCCTCGCCGGTTCTACTTGTGATTGGTTGTTGGGAGTGTGTCAGAGAGAGAGACACTGTGTCTTCTCCCCATCTGTGCATAGCTGTATTCTGCTGCCTACTCTGATCTGTGTGCAGTGTGGACTCTCTCTCCTCTCCCCCTTCTCTTATGCATGCATGGGCGTGTATGAGATTGTCTGTGTGTGAGTGGCGGTAAAAATCGTCAGACAACCAAGTTCATAACACCATGCTGATGTGGCGCAGCCTCTGGTATATGTGGCGCTGCCTCTGGTCTACGTGGCATGCTGATGTGGCGCTCCCTCTGGTGTATGTGGCGGCGCCTCTGGTTTAGGTGGCATGCTGATGTGGCGCTGCCTCTGGTATATGTGGCGCTGCCTCTGGTATATGTGGCGCTGCCTATGGTCTACGTTGCATACTGATGTAGCGCTTCTACTGGTCTACATTGTTGACGTGGCATTGTCCACGCTGTCTACGTGAAGTGATTGGTTGCGAGGAGGAGGAAGATCGGGATCTGTAGTTGAGGGAGAACGGGTACTCACCTGGGTTTGAAGTCGATACTAGAATCTGCAATGTCTTCATGGTCTTCATGATATTGAGTGCCACGTGGCACTTCCGTGTGTGATCAAGAATATACTTATTGTCATTGTCGATGTGAAGAGGGGAGAAGCCCAGAGATGGAGAGGGTCAGCAGGGGTTATTGTCTGATTCTTCATCTTCTCCTTTGTCTGTTCCCCCTCCCCTCTCTTCTATTGATGATAATGAGATACCGTTTGATAAATTTCTTCACGAATTGGAGACTTTGATGCAGATACTGACTCTACAGCTTTTGGACGACTTCTGAGTATCTGTCAGACCGGGTTCATTACATGTAGCCCTTCTGTGAGATTATCAAACTGAACCCAGAAATGGTCCCTTAGTAGATTTTGCCTGTGTCAAGATGCATCGGCTTATTCTCCCATCTTTTTTTGTGTTTTTTTAAATCCTGGCCTCGGTTAGCTAGTGGAGGTGGTAAGAGCACCTTCCGCTAGCAACCTGACGCTGGGTGCTCCACTCGATTGGTGGTGAGCAGCACCTGCTGGAAAGCGGGTCCAGCATCCCATATACGATGTCATCACCGAGCTTGCCTTTATGACTGGACTCCGGGGCCATTACCCGGCTTCGGCTTGCTGTATAGTAAGCATGATAGGGCTGCAACATTTGCCTCTTCACCCATGTTTTTTTTTTTTTCTTTCCAACCTCGCCCTGCTAGGTGGTGCGGTAAGAGTGCCACCTCTTAGCAGCCTACTGCTGGATGCTCCGGTCTATTGGTGGGGAGCAGCACCTGCTGGAAGCCGGGTCCAGCGTCCTATCTACCGGGTGCCTGACTAGATAATCCCTGCTCTCTCACATGTCTAGCTAGCACTCTGCAGCCTTGGTACGTATCTGTACGGTCAGCATTCATCATGCCAAGGTAGTTCTGCCAGAGAGAGGGCTGAGGGGGGGAAAGGGTCTGGGAAATCAGAGGGGTCGCAGAGGGACAGAGGCGTCAACTGTGGTCAAATCGAGAAAGAGAAGGTCATAATCCCTGATCATCTCTCCGTGGTTCTCCCCCTGTTCCCCCTTCCATACCACCTCTGCCACCCATCCCCCTTGATCACCCCCGAGCCAGTCTTTGCAGAAGTGCTTGATTTGCAAGGTAAGTTTGTCCTTTAGTTGGTCCCACTTCCGCTTGTGTTTGCGGTTTGATGTGTTCTCTGGAATCAGGTCCCTCCTTCCATTTGATAGGTGCAACGCCGCCACCAGAGGGCCCACAGGATGACCCTGCGGCCAATGTTGAACATATTCCGGGTAAAGTCCATGGCTTGTTGGGGGTGCCAGCAATTCACACAAGAGCGCCTTCCAATCCCATGGCCAACTAGTAGAGGCATCAAGCTGGCCCTGGATCCTGTTATATTCTATTCTCCCATCTTACTAGTGAGTTGTGTGGGCAAAAGCAATAG